TATCGACCCAGCACAGCGGAATCAAGGAGTCCATCCCCTGAATCCACCTGGTCTCTGGGCAAGTACCGGTGACTTTTGGTCGGCGATTAATTCCCCTATCCGCCACCTGTGGACGCCCTAAGCAGCCTCGTCACTAAGCTGCTGGGGATCCTTCAGTGAGAAAGAACCTTCAGTGAAAGGAGTTCCGTAGCCAATCACGATAGTGCAACGAACTGATAGCATATAATTATGTTCCAATGCCGCACGATGTTCTTATGTGGAACACTTTATTAAGTCAAACGGCTCAACGTTTCGACGCAATCGTCGTTTTCACAGGCCTGTACGCATTTGGAGGTGATTTACACGCCATGCAACAAGCGTCTTAATCCCTATCACAAACGTAACGATTCATTCGAGCCCCGTGTTTTGCAAGCGACTCATCGAGGTTCCACCACTCATGCGGGGAAAATCCGCTGTCGCCACAGACGTCTGTCAGTAGCAAATGAGACTCATTGCTGCCTCCGTTTCTTGTGATAAGAAAGATCACGTTATAGTGCTACTGAGTCACAAATTGCAGTGCGGCATATATGGCAAGAGATCGCCAGTTATGGACGGACATTCATCTATACCAAGCGGCGTCATCAGTGGTAGACATGTAACTGAGGAGCACAATAACAACAATTTTGAAATAAAGTGCACCATGTTGGCGCAGAAGGCGGAGACCTCGGCAGGAAAAGCATTAGAGACGTTCTAGATTTTCCAAAGAAATCCAAAAATTAACTGTAGAGACGAATGTCCGTCTACGAGTAACTTCGCTACATATGCCACACTGCGAGATGAGACTCAGAAGCACTATAACGTGATCTTCTTCATCGTAAGTATAAGGGAGACAGCTATAAGTTGCATTCGTTACTGACATTCGCCTGTGGCGACAGCGAATTTTCTTTCTCCGTTCACGCGGTGCAACCTTGGTGAGTCGCTTGCAAAATACTGGTTTCGCCAAATCGTCACGTTTGCAATAGGAATCAAGACGCTTGTTGCATGGCGTGTAAACCACCTCCAAGTGCGTATAGGCCGCTAAAAACGACGGATGCGTCGAAACCTAAGGGCCGTTTGACTTAATGAACTGTTGCACCTAGATACCACTTGCAGCGTAAGAACATAATTATCACAAACAACAGCTATGCCGAGGATAAAGCAAGAGAAAAGTTGGAGATCAAAAGCATGTACCCTACATGGTACATGCCCAGAATTCTGGTTGGTATTTGAGAAAAGATCCTCGTAAGCGATAGTTGCAAAAATTTTGTTATAATCTCTCTGAGGATCAATTATTCATTCTTTTATGAGCATGTATCAAGCCAACTAGTTATACAAAAACACAAACCAAATCTTTGAATAACTTCCGAAATCATTTCGATAGCGATCCTTGAGACAGAGCTGTTGAAAGTGCCTGTAAGAAGGGGACCGTGACAATTATGTGGAAAAGGAGAATACGTCGAAGATAATCATTGGAAGGCAATTTGTGAGTATGACCGATGATTAGTCACCTATTCACCCTGAACTTTGTGATTGAGACATTCAAAATGATCAAAAAGGATGCGGAAGGGGAGACAGTGGAGAGCCCACATTCAGGTGAGGATGACCATCCATGAAATGCATTTATCTGTTTGGGACTTTGTTGCTAGAAGCACGTTGGTGCAGAGGTCTGCCGTGGCACACGGTCTGCCATCTGAGATAACGCCCATTATCTGGGACGATATCTGACATTGGTGCGAGAGCCAACTTCGAGAAAGGCAGGCAGGATCCGAGCGTGACATCTGTCAAGTAAATTTATGATACATACATTTTTCATTGACATTTTCCATAGTTTGGTGGAATGAAAAGAAGGAGCAGCTTTTTTGGATCACTGCATTCTATGTTTTGAGAAGTACCGAGATGAAATGTTCCAGACAAATTTCGTTTGATACTACTGCATTTCAATTCATCATGCACACCATAACTATATCGCCTGTTTATCAAGTGGTCTACGTGATTGTTCCAACAGTGGGTACAATCGGAAATATTCTCATTATCTACGTTACTATACGATCGAAGTATGCTTTTTCAATTCTCGATAAGTTGGCAAGATAAAAAAATAATTTTCTGATTACTGTATTTGCTCAGCCTTTTGACAATAATAAATCTGTTACGTTTAGAAGCCTACGAAGTACATGCAACATACTCATTGCCCTAATTTCCGCAAGCGATATTATGCAGATGTTTGGTCTATACGTAATGATGGTCACATACTTTGCGTAAGTTTGAACTCTCCTAGGAAAACATTCGTGACAAGACTGAGCCAAACATTGATAATTTTTCTGGTCGTCCCCTCATATCTAGTTTACATTCGGGAGTTCTCCGGATGGATCCAATATTAGCTTATGGAGTGGAAACCTGAGTATTAAAATTCTTTAACTCTTCCTCCATTAACTTCTTCTCGTTTAGGATTCCCAGTCACACAGTGTCTCAAGCCATTTGCGCCTGTTGGCAAATGATCCCTACTTGTGGCATTTTGCTTTCAACTATTTGGATACTGAATTTAGCGCTTGACAGGTTGATGTCTCTTAGAAGAATTTAGTAAGTACTTCGCTTAAGGTTTCTAGGTTTTATTAAAGTTGTAAACAGAAACCTTTCTAGTGGATTCCTTTGATTTGAAAAGAAATCAGTAAACAATTGGAGAAGGCAGTCACTGTGAGAGCATTTTCTACCTCAACTTTTTCAAAGACTTGTAGCAGTACTCAAACGAGCATTCTATTTAGTATTTCGCAAAGTTTGCGCTGATTTTTGATGCAGTAGGTTTATCTCCTATATAAAGCCTTCACTACAACCTCAAGGAACTATATTTTCTGGAAAAGCGAATGTTTTTCTATATTTCAGTTTGAAGGATGTTAAGATTGTTTGAGTCCTGTTTGTGTAGAGCTAGTGTAACGAAAGAGCAATGTCAAGAGTAGTTTTGATACATAATGCTTTTACCACAAAATAAAGGGAGAAGCTTGAATGGCGAAATAGACGTGCGACAGCCATGGAGACAGTGCTCTATAAAAGCATGCCGTGGGTGCGACGAAAGCACTCTCAAAGATCGGCAGTGGTTTAGGAGACCTCCTTCATTGATAGCGAAAAATCAGAGTGTATGCCGAGAGTCTGGAACCTTCCGTGAGCAATATCAGGACAATGAAACTCCTAGAATGATAGCAAACCATTATAGATGAAAATGGAATGTACGGCGCCTTATCAACGGATTTGTCCTCTAGAAAATTTTCAAAAGAGTCGAAATCAGTATTGGCCGGATATTTTAGGAACAACCCAATCCGTTGCTTTTCAGAGACGAAGAATTTCACTTCCGACATCACCTTCCTACAAAAAATAGTCTCAAAAACCAGATTAGTCAACGCCGAGAACTTTCATACTTTGAATTCTATGAATAGTTGTTTGCATCTAAAGCCAATCTTTTGATTATCATCCGTTGCAGTACTATGCTTGTGCAAAATTACCATATGGCCTACATCGCTATGCATGTTATACCAGCCGTAATCATTACTATGGGTTTTGGCGTATGGATGTTCATCGAACGCGATGAAAAAGAGTGAGTGGAAAATTGCGATTACTAATTTGTCGGTCTCCGACTTGTGCTCTTGCCTATATTTCATAACTATCCTTGGTAGCAGCCTGCAATCGTGATAAAATGGCTGCTTTTATAGTCCGCCGGCAGGGCCGCGAGCGCGGTGCTAAGCGGGGTGTACCCAGCCTGCGTTATCGATCAAGATTAGGTTTCAAATAAGAGGCAAGCGCCGCCGCCGGCGCGCACGCTCGTTTGTGGGGCGGCCGGCGGACTATGAGAGCAGCCAATCACATGCATAGTGGGGGAGGGGGGGGGGGGGNGGGGGGGGGGGGGGGGGGGGGGTTAGTTGTAGCCGATGCCACGCTGCGCCACTAGTAGATGAATCGTACACTCGACACTTGTTAAGTTGCAATGATCATTTCATCCCCCTCCACTAACCAATTAAATTGAACGCCTTAGTAGATATGTGAAGCATCGTAGATGAACATATGATATCACAATCCCTGTTGTTATCAGATTGTCAGGTTGATCCTTCGAACAAGTTTTGAAACAATGAAGTTTTACAAGTAGGCCTGGGTCCTGTTCTAGTATTATTGGTCAAATCACAAGGGGAAGTCCCTGGAAAATTTTATGGCGCATAAAGATTTCGAATTGAAAAGAGCTCATTAATTGCAATTAATGTATCAGAACAAAACACAGGGAAAAGCAAATCCAAGGACTGGCACACTTGCATACCAACACTTCCCCTATCATTCCGATCCTTCATTTTCTCGCGTTCTCTCACACTTCCTCACAATCATAGAGGCTCTCAACACTATTGTAGTTAGTGTTGCTATCTAGAAGGTACTTTTCTGCAGCGCATTAACTTATTTAGCATCAAGTACCCAACTAGCTTCAAACAGCTAGAAACAGTCTATCTTCTCTAGGAAATGCAAAAATCATGCTATTTTCACTACAGAACCTTTAAATTGAAAGGAGAGAAGTAACACTCGATTAAATAGATTCCATATTTTAGGTACATTCTCTGTGAAATCACTGCTCCTCAGAACGGCGTCATATATTCAGTAATAACAAAATTCGTTATTTCCGTCAATGTGCTCATCATTCTTTGCTATGCTCTGTTCTTATACTTTATGAAGAAGGCCACATCAAGTAGGTGAATTTCCTGCTTGGTAGCAAAACTGTTATAGAAAAAGATGTGTAGCGCAAGATGACAGGAATGAAAGCATCGCTGTTCATTTTGATCGCTTTTCATAGCGCAGAAGGGCATTTGGATGCACTAATGCCAGTTACTAATGATGGTGCCGAAACTGTTAAATCTGGTTTCAATTCTTTCCTTCAGTGAAATTGCCTTCGGTATTCCTTTCCGAGTTTCACCAGTCAAGTACTAGGGGCAAAAATAACTAATTTGGCTTCTTAGCACATAAATATCAGACAAGCGGCCGCTCGAACATTTTGAATGGAGTCATCCGCAACGAAAGATGTTGATATCAATTATATCCAAAGACATGATGTTCCGTACAGGTGCAAGGAAAGACCTGAACTGTGACGACACTTTTGATTCGAATCTATTGCAAACTCTACCACGATGCCAGTGTCTCACTAGAAATCCACCGTTTTGGACCACATTCGTCACATTTGGATCGTTTTCATTAGTTCGCCTCACTCTGTGGAAAATTAAAGTGCCAAGTAGATTACCGAGACAAAGCATGAAGGGATGACCTCGCAGGCTACAATAGTAACAGATAAGTGGGTTCAATGGGTGTCAGGAAGAAGGGTATAAGACCTATCTCCTCAACTCTCCCATATGCCTGTCTTAGAATCTTTCGATCTATGAAGGGATAAGGAAAAGATAATGCTCGGAAATTTACAACATGCGATAGAGTGAGCAAGGTTAGTGAGCAGTAACATAGCAAATTGAGTGGGTGGCGTGGAGGGCGCTGTGGAACATGCAAAGTAACCGGATAATACTAAAACTTTTGAGCTCACATTGGTCAGACTTCTGTATGTCTACGAATGAGAGGTGTCATAAATATGAAGCATAGCTTCCAACAAAGACTATCGAAAGATATACAAGCCAGAAATCTCCGTCACTGTCCAAGATGCCTTATCATTCTTGTTGTAGATAATGACAAGATGAAGAATATATACAGGTCACTGATTGTGACCAGTCTCACTGTAGTATTAAGTTGGTTCACTGGAACTCTTGTCGGAGTTCTCGCACCGGTTGTCGATCATGATCTTACCAGAGCGGACGCGGATTTACTTGCTGGACTTTTTGCCAATATACCTGCTGTCGCCAACATCTTTATCTACTATTTTATCAGGTTAGCTACTGATATAGCTCATCACTATAGAGACGCCAAACAGTTCATTGTAACATTGGTAGAAATAAACGTTCGCTAGTGCTTTCTGCGCGTGCGGGATACATTTATGACGTAGTCTAATCTTAAGCATTGCTCATGTATGACGAAATCCTTAGATATTTCCTGGTCGAAATTAGACGACAACAACGAGATTAGCAACTTGTTAATAATTCTAATTCTCTACAACATTTCAGCAGGGACTACCGGCTGGTTTTCCAAAAATATTTATTTTTATGCTGTCGTAAGAAAGCTGGCGCTCTGCAAGTGAAACCTGGTGGAAATCTGGCTCAAAAAAGTACCGCTACCCTATCAACAGCAGGAAAATAGCTCTTTACAAATAATCTACAGTTTTGTTTTTGCACTGATTTTATTGGAAGTGAATGGCATGTTATCATTGACTATGCGAGGATCATCTCTTCATAGTGCTCTGAACGGCTTCGTGACAAGGCGGGCTAGTATACAGCGTCTAATAGATTTCTCCTACGGGGGCTTCAAAATGAAGTATGAAATCATTTGTTGTAATGCTACTCAATCAAAGGTACAGTTCACGATAGAAATGGTTTCTGAGTTCTACTCCTAGGAATACCCAGTGGTCCCCAAGGGTAATAGAGGACGCTGTCGAGCTCCGAAACCCAAAACCCAATTCTAATTTTCTACCTCAAGAGGCTGGAAAAGGCGGGCTATTTTTGCTGTCACTAGGGTTTCTTTGTTAGTTTATGCTTATGAGTGAATGAATGCTTGCTGAAGAGGAACGACACGTACGCAATGACACATATAGTGTAGTTCGTCCAAACGCCCCATTCTTCTTTTTTTCTGGTCTCATTCTCTTCCATCCCCCTCTTGGCGATTTTTCGAGACCTTTTTGCATTCTAGGAACACCTATTCACGCAGTTTCTTCCCCTTCATGGCATTATTTTCTATATTATTTTCCGTATATCGTCATAGTCTGGATTACCCAAAATTATCGTGAACTGTGCCTTCGATGTATTCTGTGCAGTATTGTGAGGAAACCATTGCTGAGCTGCGTATGTATGCAGTCTGTTAGAATAGGACAGCTGACGTGTTTGCTTCAGATGGCATTACATTTGGTGACATAATTTTCACAAGCATGGAAGTTTATTGTATCACATGTATTGCCAGCGTTTTTCGAAATAAATTTCCTTTCTCATCGAATACATGATTTTTGTTTATTCAGAAANCTGAGCTGCGTATGTATGCAGTCTGTTAGAATAGGACAGCTGACGTGTTTGCTTTAGATGGCATTACATTTGGTGACATAATTTTTACAATCATGGAAGTTTATTGTATCACATGTATTGCCAGCGTTTTTCGAAATAAATTTCCTTTCTCATCGAATACATGATTTTTGTTTATTCAGAAAGACTTAGTAGATTATCCTGAGTGCTTTTTACCATTCTTCATATGAGTGGAATTTTAGCAATATTAATATACTACTATTATTCGGAAACGAGCTGTCATTATCAACAAATCCGTCCCAATCAATTCAACACGAAAAGGTTAAAAGGTACAGAACTCAATTCCTCTGCTGAATTGGCTCGCCTACAACCCAGCTTCACTCACCACGGTCTATCCTGAGCCGATGAACTCATCTACCGGAATAGGAAAGGAGAAAATCAGAATTTGAGCTCTTGTCTCTACAGTTCGTTGACCTTGATACAGCATGCTAGCTTTTAAGCGCCTGAAATAGATATTCGTACTACACAGCCTCCAAGCACGTACGAATGCCTTATTGATAGTTGAGAGACATACTTACCCTTCTCTAATTTGGTATGTCGACCCAGAAGATTTTGTTTCAGGGTTTGATCTGCAGACAATCCTACTTATAAATCGGCTAAGCGTGTCTGTTGGTGTGTTTGTGTTTGTGTATGTGTGTGTGTCTGACCGGAAATTCATAACTTCTATTCCCGTGGATCGAAAGCGTTCAATTTGGTGGAAGTACAGGCGGCAAGATGGGAACACTTTTAGTGGGTGGCAGGACCGGACTCCGCCCAAAGGAGGCGGGGTTTGCGAGAAATAAATGTTTGAGCGAAAATACATAACTCCTGCCCCGTGATAATGAGCGCTCAAACTTGATAGGAGTTATGGGAACAGGATGTGAACACTCACTGTAGGTGGCAGGACCTGACCTTGCCCATAGGGAGCGAGATTGCGCGAAAATTGTCCATTCGGCCATAGGGCGTTCCAATTATATCATTTTCACGAAAATTTCATGAAGGGACGCACCTTAGCCCACCTATCCGTATTTCTCTGAATAAACGCCTTTGTGATATTATACAATGTTCTCACCGGACACAGCGAAGACGACTTACAGAAAAATCGCTCCCAATTCGGAGCTAATACTGAGGGTGTGGAGCTTTCAGGAAAAAAGGAG